GGGGACCTCAATATGGACCCCAATATACCGCAATCCTTATTATTGGAACCCCCAAAAAGGTACCCCTAAGTTTGGGAAACCCCTTTATGGTGAAATTAGGGGGTAAGAACAGGCCCCATCTGATGCCCAGGAAGACTCTGCATTTTCTACAATCTACATCATCCCCTCCCGCTAATATGAACCCCCCCACCCCCTCATATTAGGGACAGGGGATCAGTCTGTGCAAGTATGACTCGTGCTGCTGGGCCACCGTCAGTCGCGCGGAGTGGTTCCGGCAACTCACCCGACAGTGGCTGTGGCCACGCGCGTGTTGCAACGAATCGAGGTCCGGGCAAACGACGCTGCTTCCTGTTCAACAAATCGGCATTTCCTTTGATAGGAGCCTGCCCCCCAAAAAGATTAAGACGTCCCAACATCGGAGCTTGTTATTGCTTGCTTGAATGGGAAGTGGCAGGGTCGTGAGTATAGGTCTGCATAGCCCAAATGGGCCCTGCTTCAGAACCAAGTACAGCGTCCCCGCCCACCCCGAGCCTCCATGGAGGGTCGAGGGATTTGGAAGCGGATGTAAGTATTCTATTTTGGGTCCCAGAAAAGGACACAGTAAAATCAGCTTCAGCAATATTCCGAGTGACTCTTACACATTCACCACAACCAGACCTCCCTTGTCATGTGGTCTTACGGTAGGTTCAAAGTCTTGGTCTTTGGGGTCTGAGGTTGAGAGCTAAGGCTCGGCTTTCACCTAGCTTTTCTTCATAAAATTCGAAGGTTGATATATGGGGGATTGTCAAAATTATGGTCCCTTTTTGGGTCCCCTAAGTTAGGCCCCGTATTATAATAGGGACCCCAAAAGGGACCATAATTTTGACAATCCCCCATATGGCCTTCCTCAAATTAGGGGAACCTTTTTTTGGGAGGATTGTTTGCATTGGAGGTCCCCTTATGTAGGTAAACTACCATACCATACAATGGAAGCTCAAAGGGAAAAGCAGATGGAGCAGTTAGATGTAAACTCCAAGGGTTTATGGGGATGCTCAGGTTTAGGGTTTAGGGTCGGTCAACTTGGTTGTTGTGTATGGTTTAGGGTTTACGGATTATCGTATTGAAGGATTACAAAGGAGCCACAAGGGTCCATCCCTCTAGTGAGAACACAGGTCACAACAGCACATTTTTGGTGATTATCGTCTGAATAAGACTGTCCCCCATTGTACATACTGTCGATGTAAGCTTTAAGGGCAAGCAGGGGCTTTAAGTTGCATTTGGGATATGGGTAGAATAGCTAGTCAAAGAAACAGGAGAATAATTCCCCTGTGGCAGTTCTTACCACGTGCCTGCAATCGGCTTTAACGTACATACCTGCGCACCCATAAACTCGAAGCCCCAACCCTAACCCTAAACCCTAACCTTCCCCCAACAAATCCTCTACCATCCTCCTAGACCAACTCCACTACACCCACAAAATTCACGTTTTGGCATCTGCTAATCCTAGGCCATTTTTGTGCGGCTTAGGGTAAGAAGGACTGCCTGATAATCCCATCCTCCATCCCCAATGTGATTGAGGATCCTGTCTCAAAGGATATTGAATTTGACCATTCTGTTCTGCACCCCAAACCATTAATCCAAAATCCGGGCTTCTGCTTAAATCGTTGAGCCACCCAGAACCGAATCTGCTCTAACGAAGCGAACCCCTTAACTAAAGGGACTTTTCAAGGAAGCCCTCTAATATTGAGAAAGCCCACAAATTAGCCAGGCATAAATCCTTAACCCTAAGCCCATAAAACCTCAACAGTCCCAAGTGACTTTACTAGTGCTCAAGGGGGCGGTAAGCGGATCCCCATATCATACTTTATTAGATCCCTAGAATGGTATCCTTGTCCACGAAGCCCTGCATTTGAAATCATGTAGTAGTAGCTTCCACTTTTTCATCTTTCTAACCCCCAATACTAAGCCTTGCGCATCCTTATATCAGATAACCCCATTTAAATCCCTATATAGCCCTTCAAGGGACCCCCCAAAACTAAATCCTAGACCCTAAATCCTAAATCCTCAACTCCAAATCCGGAAAATCCCGAACCCTAAGCCCTAAAGCCCTACACCCGAAACTCTATAACCCCTGTAGTTTCCATTTTATTTTCCATTACCCCTATATAACCCTATATACTGTTATATTATCCCTATATCAACCCTAAATCCCCTAAACTCCCAGCAAGGTGAGCGAGACCTTCTAGGTTCCCCCAGTACACCCTAAACAATAAGGGTACCCTTTTTCCTGCTGTTCTGCTTTAACAAGGAGACCCCAA